ATCCCTGGCTGAAGTGGCCCAGGAGACCCTCCAGATCTCGCTATGAGGGGAAGACTTGCCCCAATCAGCGAGGATGAAGAGGCAGCTTCTCCCAGTCTTTCCAGAGATGCTGGACTCGGTCTCGGTCTCGTGGAGAGACCGCCCTTTCAAGCAACAAGGCCCCAATCCAAGGGCTCCTCTTTGGACTGTGACGGCATGGAGAAGCTCGCCTGCTCCGCATGCCGCCCCAAAGGAGCCGCCTGGTGGCAGCCCACCTCCAACCGCGGCTGGCTTAAAGCACTGAGCAGGAAACCCACGCTACCCGGTCAAAGGCAGACCGCTTCGGTCCCAGCAATGACCGAACGAGCCTATAGAAGTTACGCAGCTTTGTCCGCCAGGGCGCATCAACCGTCTCCTCGCTGCTGACCGCCTACCAGGCGGAGCTCTGCGAGGACATGACGAACAAACTGAGCCTGCCTCTGGTGGGACTAAATCGCAGCGATCACGGACATTTGCCTCAGTGTGCAGCGCTGTGCATCCAAGCCACGGACAAGCACTGGGGATAATGGTGGTACAGGAGAGAGCCAGGGTGGCTTAACCTGACGACCTTCCAGACCGGGAAAAAGAGGACGTCTTGGACATGCCTATTGTTCCCGAGGGCATATTTGGCTCCCTCTAGCTTCGAGTGCAGCAGCGGTGTGGAATCCAAAAAGAAGGGAGGATGGAGGCTCTCCACGCTTTGTCTTCCCCGAAGGTCCAGCCGCCGCCTTCAACCGGCCCCGCGGCAAGTCCTTCGCTCAGGCTGCCTCACGTCCTGACCGTTTCCAAAGAGTTGCGCGAAACAGCAGAGGCCCAGCCCACCCCGGGTCTCAGCCCAAGACACGGGCGAGGAACGAGCTGGCCAAAGAAAGTCTCCGGTTCCGGCAGCACGCCCCTTCAGGCACACGCCGGTCCAGACTTTCAGCAACCAGACGAGGAGGAAGAAAAGGGCTGCCTGACAGCCTCCCTCTCCTCTCCTCTGATAAAAGAGCTGAAAGTTCCCTGTTCTCCAGCTCAAGAAGCACTTCCAGTGTTAAATGCATCATGTGTTTCCGGGGTGCAAATCATGCCCCCATCGTTACCAGCCGCTTCCCAGTGTGTCCAGAACGTCCATCCTAAGTTCGGCGCCAATGAGGGAAATGGACTTAAATCAAAGACAGCAAGCTCCGCTGTTCGTTTAAGTCACACAAACACAATGTCATCACTCATTGTTTCTTAATAAATCATTTTCCACTGTCGTTTCCAGGCTTAAAGCCAGGCGCAGTCAATAAAAATGAAAAGAAAATAATAAAAACAAATAAACAGTCCTGCGTCTATCCGCCCTTCTAAGAGTGGCTGCTGCTCTAGAAGGCGGACGATGGCGGGGCTGTGAAGGCATCACCGCCAACGCGCTATGCGCAGTGTCGACCGGGGTTCTTACGTAACCCCAGTTCTCAGACGTAACATGAAGGTGAGATGTCTACACCAGAGGCGGCCTTCTTTTGCTAAGGCAAAGCGAGAAGAGGTGCTTATTTTGAATGACGCTGCGACGTACGCGCAAGCTACTTTAAGGTGGGTGGATTCCCTGACGTAGACGTCACAGATCACCAGCCAATCAGGATTGGCGTAATGAGATTGATGCTTCTGTTTGCATACGCCGTTGAGTGCGCATCCCATAGTGAGACATCCTCATTTCATTTACTCTGAGAACTGGGGTTACGTAAGTAAACCTATAGTTTCCTTCCCCAACTCGCGAGGCACTGTGGAGTCATGGTGATTGCCAAAGTAGAGAAGAACCTGCTTTGCAAGTTCACAGGGATATTCTATTGCATTTCCAATGCATTTCAAAAATAATTTTTGGAGCTCAAAGACATATACTTTTTTGTGAGAAACGCTGCGTAAAAACACTGTTTAATTTATATATTTTAAATCAATTTTTTTTGTTCTATTTTATTTGAAAGAATCCTGTGTTTTTACTTTTTATGATTCTTATTTAATTAGTTTAGATCTTTACTGCTTGCCAGGTGTTATGTAATTTTTCTTAAGACCAGTGCCAGGCAGCTATTTCCAGAATGTCATCCAGGCTCTTGATTCAGCTGAGACTAACTTGTTCCCCTGACCTCATCGCTGAAAACACACGTCTCATGATATTGAATAAATATTTTCCCATCTCCAACTTTAAAGAAAAGCTAAGTTGTATTTCCCCAATTTGAGCTATTCATACAATATAACCACAAACATAAAGGTATGCAATTCAAATAATGTTTCTAGAATGGGCATTGCACGTCTAGTGCTTCATTTGTTAGTCCTAAAAATGTTGAGCCTAACTCTCTACATTTTTATAACCCAAAATTCAGTCCCTTTTTTATATAACTCTCATTTTAGGTGAAATTGACCCAACTGCATTTCAGTTACCTGTTTACCCTTAATCTAATTTAGGGGTTTACCTGCAAAAACTCATGTATGGACATCACCCTTTCTTTGTTCACTGCCCTTAATGACTTGAACTCAGATTTTGCGTATTTAAAAAACAGATGTGAACAGTGATAGGAGAAACGGTTTCCTTCCTCAATCCAAAAGCACTAAGCCTCTCCACCCTGATGTCCTCCTCTCTCCATCTTCTATTCCCTTTCACAGCCTTTTTCCCTGCACACCTACTAGAATTGTAATCTCTTCACTCCTTTTCAATCTCTCTGCACCCCCGTTTGACTTTGAGCTCTGATCCTGACCTGGCTTTTTCCAGTAAAAATCTGTCCGTTCTCCCCACTAACTGTAGCGCTATTTTTCTGTGCCTGACCCATAAATTCTCCTTTCCAGCTCCTCCTGCTGACAATATCTTTACACATCTCATTTCGCTCTCCTGGGACATACATCATCTTACAGCCTTTGGCTGTCATCGGACACCCCATTATAGCAAAAACTTTGATTAATTCCGTGTAATTGTACTAGAAAGGTGGTAAATGCACCAAATTGGGTAATGGTTGGGGTTGTAACCAGAAAAAAATAGATGATCCTTACATAAAATCACGGTTTAGGGTTAGCGTTAAGTCAATTTGTTATGGAACTAGCAAAATGTAAAGACCCTAGAAGCAGTTTGTATTACTTGTATTCAAAGATTAGTTTAGTCCTAAAGTTAGACAACTGTTTTGTTGTTCTTTCCACACCATACAGGATGTGGCTTTGTATTTGTAAAGCAGGGTTAGGGCTTCGGTTAAGCGTTACCTCTAGTAGTTCCATGTTATTGAATTAAGCAATGTGCTTACAGCAGCACAGAACACCCAGGAGCTGCCTTATATTTCCTGGTTACTACTGACTTCAAAGATGCTGTTTAGTCCCTGCTGTTTTTTACTCAGTTATTTTTGTTCTCTTCACAACTTACAGGATTTTGTGTTTGTATAACAGAAATGTATTGACGTTTTTCCTCCAAAGCCTTGAGCCTTGATTGTGAAAGCTTGCTCCTACTATTGAGGTTAGAGCGTTGTAATTAGTCCAAAAGCACAAAGTGCTGACACAGTGTTCCAGAGCTTTCCCTTTGCCTGCCTGAGCTGGCTAGGCTGTTGTAACACTTTCTCCCCATGTCCTTTATCTCTTGGTGGCAGTGCATTTTTAACCTCTAACTCTTGCTTTGGTCTTCCTTGTCTGTCTTGACTTCTATTTGGCACAACCTAATCTCCTCCTTTTTATTGAAGTCAAATTTATATTCGTTTGCCCTCCCTCTGAAGCTGACCAAAGCAATACAGAGGAATCTTCATGAGCTCATTTCCAATATTTCTATGAAATAAAAAAACGGATAACCCATTCTCCCAGTATCCTCTTGTGGCAACATGGTACACAAGCTTTGATGTGTATAACCACTGCAAAGATAGCTAGCAACCTTCATCATTACTCTAACTCATCCAGGGCCCTGTTCCTATCTCATCAGTTCAGGAGAATATGCAGCGAAACTAACCACAACTGAAATCGGTCCACACCTCCTTTCCATACACATTACCTTTAACATGCACAATTGGGTGTACACTATTACATACTTTTAAGTGGTTCCAGGGAGACATGTTTCCTCCAGGAGATTACCATCATGTCTTTAAATACCTGGTTAACTTTATTCTGGATGGAGAGACAGAGTGGTTCATAGCCAGCAAGTAGTTGGATGAATGAATACATGGCGTGAAACAAAGGACCACACCAACTCTTACATATGTTTTCTATGTAGGGGATAAAAGGATCTTCAAACACCTGACATGTTCTTCCCATAGTTATTCTTAATCTATTATCACATTATAAGAAACTGTTGTGTAAAGTCTATTTCATCTATGAAACACAGGTTTCAACCATCATTCAAGTTATCAAATAAAATTAGTCAATAAGATCATAATCAGGCACAACACTTCTGGAATCCTTGAAAAAACATGTTTGGATTATCACTTGGACACCAACTATAAAAAT